AAAGAGTGTAATTATTTCACACTTCCTTTCACTTCAACACAAGTTGGCTGAAGACAAGCAGGAGGGTTAGCGGTCTGTGTTAGAGTAGAGTGTCTCCACTTTAAACCACAGAACACTTTCTAGGAACATTTGCCAACGATGAATGCTTTCCAGAGGAACGGCATGCACGGCTTGTGTATACATTTGTGAACGATTTCTTTAATTAAAATAAATAATCTACAAGGCTTTCTATCTTTGTACCTCAAGCTGTCTCACAGGCAGAAAGTCTAGCAAGACTTATTTCCAATCTGCAAATGAGCCAATCTTAGCGTTTAAGTAAGATTTTTGGACACATGTCAAATAAACATGAAATGCCTATTTTTGACATTTTATAACATTAAATTTCTTTTTAAAATGCTCTTTGATAAAGAACATCTTGTATATCAAGAAGTAACATGTCAACAAGATGCAGTTCTGCTGTCTGCAACCTAGTGTCCTTGTGGTTAAGACAAGCGAGGTACAGGGACAGTGGAAGCGTACGGCTCACAGGCCACCTTTAGTCACCGTGAGAAACACCTCTCCCTCTTGCCACACCTTAAAATGTAGTGATATAAACCACACATATTTGAAGTCTAGCTTTTATTCTCTAGACTTTAAAAAATGGAACAGAGAATCCTAAACAATTTTCAACCCATTTTAGCATAATTTTATTAAATTAAATATTTTTAATAATAATAAGTTAAAATCTTAAGGAACAAGAAATGTAGCCATTTTCTTCTTTTCTTTTATTACTAAATATTGCTTTCTTTCTCTTTCTGCCCTCCACATTTGAAAAAAAGGGCTTATGGCTATTTTTTTATTTTTTAATTTAGGCTTTTAACTCAATAATTATGTAGTTCTTTGAGTAAAAGACTAGGTATTGCCACCATTTTCTTCAACTCCTTTCCTACATAAATGTTGCAAATGAGATTCAGGGGGCCAGCACATGGCATAGTGGTTAAGGAGGTCATGACTGACCATGGTTCAAGTCCTGGATCTGGCAGCTTTCAAAATCATGCCAGGTGCAATTGCAAGCATGCCTCAAATCCCATCTCCCCTAGGGAGTGCTTTCTCATTCTCTCTCTCTCTCTCTGGCAAGTGCACATACCCTATGGCAAAAATCTAAAAAAATGAAGAAAAGAAAAGACAATGAGCCTCAGACTCTCATTTCACTAACATCATCAACAATAGAGCAGTGGTATAAGTAGTTCAAAATCACCATTTTCCAGCAATAACGTAAACTTCTTAGCAAAAAGTAGGTTTGTTGGGGCCTTCGTGACCATAACTCACACGTCTTGAGACCCTGTTTGAGGAAAACAATGAAGGAAATAAACTTGCTTCAGAGGTTTGTGTAAGTGGGAACCTGACACAAAGGCTTATTAGTTCCCCAGTAGATCTGCCTCTGAGCAATACAATACTCTTTTTAAAGAGGAAATGACTATTAAATGCCTTAAGAAATCCTCTCTCATTTTCTTAACTTACAGTCAGTGATATAATTGTAAAAGGCCTACTATTTTCATTTAAGTACGTTTATTTATTTATTTTTTTACATTTGTTAAATCTTGCCTCTGGATTTCTAATTTAAAACAGAATACTCTTCATCCCACATCAAGTATCATTTTAATAAATTAGCTCTCAGACATATAATATTCCCCAGATAGCACCAAATAAGATAAAGATGTTTTATTTATAGAGAACTCACAAGGTTTGATTTCCTTAGCTTTCTGCATTCCCAGGTCAGTAAGTATAATGTATTCCATATTTTGTTGCTGTTTTCTAGTATTAAACATGTCAACATTTCACACTGAAGTCATAAAAGTTAGTGAGATGGTTCTGATGAATAGCAATAAGACCAGGAAAAAGAATAATGCACGACATGAATTCCTCAGGAAATCAATTAATATTTTTATGAGTGGTAGTAAAAATATGATCAAGAGTTAGCAGAGAATGAGGTCAGGCTGTTTGATCCCAAAGTATATTCTTCCTTCAGTTCTATCAATGTAAAAGTATTCTGTGCTGAGTCAAAACTAAAATCTCAGCGCTCCCAAGAGTAAGACATTTTAGACATCGGAGTGTGCAAAACTCTTTCCTGGCCATGCAGGCAGCCTCTGATAGGGCGTATAACTCTGCAGTCTTTGCGGTTCATCAGGTACCTAACTGGCTTTTTGTGAATTTCTGAACATAGTATTATTCTAATGTTCTGTATTATGTACTATGTGTGCTATTAAAATACTGTATATATATTTAAATATATGAAATTGTTTACATAGTTTTTGAAGTAATTTGATTCTGACACTGGGGTAAATAATGATTAGTGGACCTTCTAACACTACTCAAATCTTCAGATAACTGTAACCCAACTTGCCTGCAACCTCATGACAGACTCTGAGCCAGAACTCCTCAGCTAAACCACTCATGGATGGCTCGATGATTCCTGACCTTTAGAAACTCTGTGAGATAATGACATTTATTTTATTTGAATTAAAAAGTACACTTTTTTTTTTTTTTTTGGCTACACCACATGTGCACTAGACTGAGATAAATAGAGACAGAGAGGGAAAATGAGAAAGCACCTCCTAAAGGGGATGGCCATGCTGTCATCCCTTCGGGTCCATTCTCCTCTCAGGATCTCGGGCTCGCATCCACAAGTATCCAGCGTGTTTTTAAGCCAATGGACTCAGGACTTGAATTGCACAGTCAGTCAGGGAAATCCAGTGACCTTAAACTCCATGGTGGCTTTGCTTATTTTCTTAAACTGTTACATTTTGGTGATGTTTGTTATGCAGCACTAGATAACTAACATATGAACCAGCACAAACATAATTCTACAAACAACAAACAGAATAAATCAAAAGAAAAGAAAAACTTACTGCCTAGAATTTCCAAAGGACAAAGGCATACCCAGAACACAACTATCTTCTTTTAGGTAAAGTATGTCCCAATCCTTTTGATACAAAGGCTTTGAAGCAATTCAATTCACTTTTTTTGTTTGTTTGTTTTTTTGGAGAGGTTTTTGCTATAGGGCACGTGCGCTCACCAGACCGAGAGACAGAAAGTGAGAAATCACCCCCCGGGGGGATGGCCATGCCGCAATCCCTCCTCCTCCATTCTCCTCTCGGGATCTTGGGCACGCACAGGCACACACGCCCTGTGTGAGTTTTAAGCCACCGGGTCTGGGACTCGAACCGCGGTCAACTATGTGGGAGTCCAGCGACATAGCCATTATGTTAACTGCTGGTCCCAATTCAATTCACTTTTAAACTAGGTTTCCACACTGTGGAACTTACACATGTGTGTTACTTTCCTGTCTCATTGTGCCTAAAAAGGGAGATAAAGGTTTTCAAAACTTAAAGTCACATAAAACCTTCAAAGTTCTCAAAGCAAGGTGAACAACTGAGTCTAGAGGATGGTCCAAAGAAGCCCTCCACCCCCAACATCCAACATTTAAACAGAACAACATAGGCAATTAGCAGGCACAAGCATACAATTTAGCATTGGTTAAAAATGACTGTAGCTCATTTTAAAAGAGAACATTTGTTAGCATTCTGATCCCAGAATTTGGCAACTTGCTCAGGCCACACACAATCAGTGCCGATTACACAGTAAGTGATGATGACTAAGCTTGAAAGCATGGTCTGATTTTCATAATTTCTGAGGATAATAAACATGACTTGAGTTTTTGTTCTCATGCAACCACAATTATTAACCGAGAGGGCTTTCTTTCCACTCAGGCATCTCATTATTTTTTTAATCTCCACTTCCTCTAATCTATGGCATAGCCCAGGGTTCTGTGAGCCCTGCTACTGGACAGATAGGACGCTTTGGTAAGGGCAACGGATGTCACCCTATGCAAAAGTGACCTGCAGTGCTCAGCTGAAAAACCAGGCCTGGGAATATGCCTCTGCTTCCACCGTGCCTTCTTCCACGAAGCTCCTCGTGAAGTTGCAATTTTAAAATACATTTCCCATTGAAACTCAATAGCATCTTATAAGCACATACACTTTGCCTTTTCTAGTCTGTATGAGATTTAATATCAGGATTACTGTCCATTTGTCATGTGAACCTATCATCTGGTAAGCCTGGGTTGGCGTTACGCTTCCCTCCCCCGTTTACCGTCAGCGCGCAGCCAGGTCCCACCGCCTAGAATAAACACTTCCCATGTTTCTGCTCGGCTTCCTTACAGGCACCATTCATCTTGCTTGTCTTTAAGATGATTTTTATGACACAGTAACATTTCAAGTTTTCCATATTAATCTTCATCCTATTTCTTCAAATTCTTAGACAAACAATGTCACTAAGACATCACTGATGGGGAATCATTTCTCCTTCTCTCCTCCTACTTACGGCAACTCCAAGAAAGGATACATTTTTGTTCTGAATCGCCAGCACTGGAGGAAAGTGGCTCGCAACATCTTACATACTCCAGTAAGCAATTAAAACAGCAGGTCTCAATAAGACTCTTCCCAAAATAAAGGTATGCTTTGCAATTCTCATATTCTCCTATATAAGAACTGTAAAACTTATTTGCTTATAGAACAGTTCAAAATGTCTGAGTCCAAAAGTAAAATGCAGATAAAATAAACACAAAATCCTAGCCCATTGGAGAGTGAAGACACCAGCGAATGCCCCCGGGGTGGGGGTTCAGTACTCACCCCGCAGCCCAGGCCACTGCCCGCCTCGCAGGTGACCTTCCTCAGGCCTGGCTCAGGAAGCAGCCCCGCCCCGCAGCCCGGGCTGGGGCACAGCACGCCCCCCATCTGCAGCACGCACTCCTCAGCACCATACTGCTGGTACCGGCCGTACTGCAAGGGCAAAGCAAAACAAGTTTTTACAGTGACTGCGTGCATGCCACTCTGTGCTGTTTCAGCCAAAGGTTACTCGTTGGCTGTGTGTGTTTGGGGGGGGTGCTCTCATGTAACCAGTTTCAGTAAAATGTGTGCATGTGAGGGGATCACGGGTGGACAAGGTATGGCCCACTGTGGGGGAGTCTTCCAAATTCAAATAGGCGAAGTGGATGAGGAAAGTAGATTTTCCCAAATGTGGTATTTGATGATACTCCTTCCACCAATTGTATCTATACAATATTACTTCAAGTAAATTTTAAGTACATATCTACATATTAAATGATGGGCCCTTGTTTTACATTGGTGATCTTTTTTTTTTTTTTTTTCCTTTTTTTGGAGAGGTTTTTTACTATAGTGTGTGTGTGCTCTCTAGACAGACAGAGAGAGACAGAGAGAGACAGAAAGCGAGAAATCACCCCCCAGGGGGGATGGCCATGCCACAATCCCTTCTCCTCCATTCTCCTCTCAGGATCCTGGGCACGCACACACACGTGCCCGGCTTGAGTTTAAGCCACTGGGTCTGGGACTCGAACTGTGGTTGCCTACGTGGGAGTTCAGAGACATAGTCATTATGCCAACTGCTGGTCCCAGACATCGGTGATCTTGTAAAGCAATATATTTCCATGTTGGTGTTTGAGATTCTATGAGGTTTTATAATCATATTGAACATAGGCCCAATATCCCACCTCACGATAATTGTTGACTAACCAAACAATAAAGAAAAATTGAAAAAACAATGTAATATACTGTAAAGTTATATGTTATCCAATGTAATATAAAGAAGATTATGATGATAATAAAAATTAAAAAAAAAAGAAAAAAAAGAGAAAATTTATTAGAGAACAAAATTTCCCTTTTATCACCATTCTAAACGTATGATTTTTTTTTTTTTTACCCAATCTTATCTTGTGCCCGATTCAATTCCTTTGAACATTTTCCCCTGCCACGGAATTGAACCCGAACTCCAATGTGCCAGGTTCAAGGTCGTCTTCACCGGCCCTGAGTTATTTTCCTCTTTTTAAAAATTATTTTTATTTTATTTATTATTTTTATTATTTGATAATATTGTCCTCTAAATTTAGACCATAAGGCAAATGGATTTGCTCAATTATTAATTATCATGTGCAACTTTCTTGAGAGCCTCCTCCCTGCCAGACACTGTAGTGGGTGCTGAGGACACAGCAAGGAACTGAGCAGCCATCTTGCTCTCCTCTGCAACACCGTGACAGCAAACGCTCAAGGGTCACAAAGTCTAATATTTCAGAAGAAGAGTAATAAACAGGGAAGAGACAGATCGCGGGAACAATGGACATCGCTATCTTAAGGAAATGAAGCCACATTTGGGTTGGCTCCATGGCCTGACAGGTAAGGCTGCTAGATTCCCACATAGCTGACACCATGGCTCAACACACCAGGCATGTTTGCAACCATATCCAAAACCCTGAAAGGAGGGAGATGGAGGAGAGGGGCTGGTGGTGTGACCATTCCCTATGGGGTGTGTTTTTCCCCCTACTGCTGTCTCTCTCTCTCTCTTTTTCCAGTGAATGCATGCACCCACAAGTGTGCATGCAAACTTACAGACACACGGGTGCGCACACACAGGCACAGTTAAGCAAACATTTGAAGAAGATTAGAGAAGCCAGGTGACTCCCTGGGGGAATGAGCATTTCAGACTAGAAACACATGATAAAGGCCCCGAGGCCAGTATGAGTTCAGCCATTTCTAGGTACTGCAAGAGCCGATGTGGCTGAGGCAGGGGGTGGGGGGGATTAAGAGAAGGTGAATGAGAGTCCCTGCTGGCTGGTATTCTTTTTTTTTTTTTTTCTGTAATAGTATTTTTTTAAAAATTTTTTCCCCAATTTATTTATTTGCATTCATTCACTGTACATCATTACAGCATACAAAATGAGATTTTCCATCTAGAGTACACTGTATATTGTCTCAATCAAGCACATCAACAAATATGTTATTCTTAGCAAATGATCTCCCATTTCTTGTTTTCTGTATGTTTTGCTTTTCCCCCCCATCCTTGGTTCCCTATCT